GAGACATGGGTTAGAGAAACCCTAGACTGTCTCACATTTACAATTATTATATTCTGGCAAAGAATTGTCTCTGTTTGGCCTGTGTCTTGAAAATTTTAAGTCTGGGTGCAAAAGTGAAGGATTGGTTATTTGGTGAGGGGACTTCCAGACAGCATAGAATCCTGACATCTTAGGTATGGTTTACTGCTGGCTGCTTTTAGTAAGATTCACAGCAAGCATCAGGAGCAAAAAGCAAGATATGTGGGAAATGCTGTTCAAGAAGAAAAATGAGCTCATTTGCACTGGCAGATAAATAGCTGTAGCTTTTAAAGAATTTAGAGCCATTAAAGAAAATCCAAGCACTCTACACAAGATAATGGGAATTTCTCAAGTATATTTCAGATATTGGACATATTCTACCCATTATAGAACCCAGGTATAAACCTTCAAACTCACTTCAAAGACTTCCCCTAGATAAACAAGTGCCTCCGGAACACCCTGTTCACAAAGGGCCACATCTAAAGGTGTATTTGTGTTCAGCCACCTCGGCAATTAAAGTTACTACAGCCACAGTCAAAGAGGGCCTGACTACTGTTCAGACAGAGAGTACAACTTGCCATTCTCCGTGAAGTGCATGTTTTGCAGGCATGCAGAACACAAGACGTATGGGGTCGTGGAGACTTCCACTACACTCTGAGGAAAAGGCCATAAGACCAGGCATCACATCCCAGGGTCAGGTTCCTTGCAGGAATACCTTAACATAATAGGAAGTTATGAGCACGGTGACTGAATTACAGTGGGAACTGCAGGATAGTGAGGTGCCGGGAAGTGAAACGTAGAGACAATGAATGGAGCCAGCCCAAGAAAGAAACTTTTGAGCACTGAAAATGGTTAGACCATTAGACCAATGCTACCTGAGCCCACTGGAACTCAGATAATGCCATTATATTCCCTAGATGCTGGAAATAGAGTTTTGTGTATTTTCTCTTCTGGGCTTTAGTCTCAGTTGAGTCCAATTTTTCCTTACTGCCCTCTCTCTCTGCTATTTTGCTCTGAACCATTATGTATGAGAAGTATGTAACTCTCTTTTTTCCTTTTACAAAAGTTCACAGCTAAGAGATTGCCTTGAGCCTTGAGTCTGAGTAGAGACTCTGGCTTAGACTTCAAACAATATTAGAATGTGAAGACCTCAGAAACTTATGGTTTGATCAAGCGCACCTTTCATCATGACAAACCATGAGCCTTTGGTGGTATGGATGAAGTGTTGCAGTGTGAATTTGTCTCCCTGGCTTATGCTCTGATGCCTGTTACCCACATGATGGTGGTGTTGTGGAAGAATGAACTTTAGGATCCTAGCTGGAAGGAGTGTGTCACCAGGGGGCAGTCTTTGAAGGCTATAACCGCCCTCTGTACAGGACTACCTTGTGAGCCAAACTGCTGCCTTGTCAAAATTTAGGTTGTACCTGCTCACCACAGATCATCACAGCTGGGCTTGTGGACTATTGCTTTCCCTCCTTTCCCTCCTAGAAGGGGATGGGGAGGTTCGTGGGACTCCTACCTGAATATCCTCCCAACCTTCTCTGAGAAGGGCTAGAGGATATTTCTAGGGAAAGGTTAAGGGTCTCCATCTATACTACCACAGAGGAGTCCCTACACCATCCATGCTAGGTGTGGACCTCCTACAGCGGCTGCTTAAGGTCGCCCATTCTCCTGTTACAGCTACTCCCCCACTGCTCTGTAAGCATGCCTAATAAACCCACTGGTTCCCCCAGAGTGAGCTTCGGTGGAATCCCGACTTGGGACTGTAGGAGGAAGGAATACAAAAGAAAGCTTTCCTCTGTTGGGCTGTTTCTGTGGGATACTATGTTCATGGTGATGCAAAGGTAAGTAGAGTCACTCATTTCCTCCTTCCAAAATGGCCATGAGTTAACCACCACTGTGTAGCCTAAGGGTGCAGAACTATATATAAAGAATGCAAGCGGGGACAGTGAAATAATTCAATAGGCAAAGACACTTGCTTCAAGCCTATGACCTGAGCTTGACCTTTATTACCCACGTGATGGACAGAACTGATTTTCACAGACTGGCTTTTCCAAACATACATCATGACAAACATGAACCTACACAGACACACACACACACACACACTAAATATTTTTAAAGAATCCAAATAACTTACAAGACGTTACGTAGAAAGTAAGAGTTGGAGCTTAGATTTGAGGTCAGATAGTCTAAGCTCAGAGGACACCATCTTAATAGCCATTAGAGCTCCAGGGAACCGTGGGCTAGCCTGCCATACTCCACAATTGTGCAGTGATTCATCTTGACTCAATCATAGCCTTTGAAAATCGTGATCACTATGCTTGGCTCTGAGTAGCCCTAGACCACACCCACCTCTTCACACAGCCTCTCTGCACACTATGAACAGACAGTGCTATTAGGCTGCTAGCAGTATTAGGAGCTGATCTTGATGCCAGGACTGTCTGACTCTTCGATATTAGCATGACATAAAATAAGTCAAATCAGAAGTAATGTCTTTAGTCCTGGTGACTTTAGAAGCAAATCTTGGGCTCCCCCTTTATGTTGCTGCAAGCTAGGGCCATGCTCCAGTCAAGCAAGTGTAGTGTGAACTTAGGTCTGTGTAGCCACTGGTCTGTCTGCTTACTCTTCCATGACTCTTGGGGCTGGTTCTTGGACACTGGGGCCTAGTTGTTCCAGATCAAACGCTAAACTGAATATGTCATTTTAGTGAAACAAAAAAAATGAAAGAATGAAAAAGAAATCATGGAAGCATCAACACCTGACCTACATAGGTCACAATGGTGGCAAAACAACATACTACGTTTCTCAGTATCAATTTTACTTAGGATCCCTATGAGTTAAGTTTACACGTCATCATTTGAATGGTATAGGATAAAAACACAAGTCAGAGCATCTTGTTTATTTAAGATCGTATGCACAGCTGATGATTGTTGTAGAAGGAGAGAGCCGCTTGTTGTTTCCCGACAGAGACCAGGTCTACGACAGGGAGTTTCCACTGACAACCTGACATGACCCGGGGTTGCCTGGAAAGAGTGTCTCAATGAGGAATAGACTATATCAGGCTGGCCTGTGGCCACGTCTGGAAGGGACTTTTTTTCCTTGGTTACTTGAGGTGGAAAGACCCACCCTGAGTGTGGGCATTTCCCAGTCAGGGTCCTGATCAGACAAGTGTGAGACTGAGCAAGGGCCACACATTCCTTTCTCTCTGTTATTGACTATGGGTGATGTAACAAGCTGTTTCCAGTCCCTGCCCCCTTAGGTGTTCTGCAGTGATAGACTATATATAACCTGGAACGGTAAGCCGAAAGCAATCCTTTCTCTCCTAAGCTGCCTTTTGTTGGGGTTGTTTTATCACAAGCAACGAAAATAAAAAATAGGACAGGATCTCATGTATCCCAGCCTGCTCTTGAAATGGCTACATAACAGAAAATGAGCTTGAATTCCTAACCCTCCCGCCTCTACTTCCTAAGTGCTACAATTACAGGATTTTATAGAACTGAGCGGTATTGGTCCAACAGCAGCCAAGACATTAGATGGGGAGAGCTTGGGCCTATATGTCTGGTTCCTGGCTTCATTTCACTGGCCTGGGAGTTAATGCTGGCTGAGTTACAATACCTCTTTTCTTTATGTTGGGATGTTATCCAAGATTGTAAAAGCTGGAAAACAAGTGGAAATTATAAATAGTGGGCAATTAATTTTCAAAGCACTCTGATAAAAAGAAGTACCAATCAGTCCTGAGCTCAAGCAGAGAAAGCGGTTTTTGCTGGGGTCCCTCACAAATGCCCCAGCCTGCCAAGCTTCTGGTACTCCCCCCACTTCCTACTTTCCCCCTCCCATCTGTACACTCATGCTATGCGAGAGTACGCGTCTCCCTTACTGGGATTTCTACTCTCTAGTTTTTCCTCTTCTCTTTTTCTTCATTTTCCCCCTTCCTCATTCCAGCCCACCTGATAATCCCAATATCTTGGAATACTAACTTATGGGGGCACTCAGAGACCATATAGAACGACATCCCAATTCTGCCCTTGAAAACAACAACAACAGTCCTAAGAAGTGATTTTCACAAGAACACACTGTTACTTGGGAGAGAACACATGGCCCAAGTCCAATATTCGCTCCACATGATGCTCGCAGCTGTGCCGTGGAAGAGCGTTGATAAGTAACTAAGAAAGGGCCATTTTGACATAAGAATGTGTTCTTCTTTTCTCAAATAAAGTATCCTCCCTTAAAAATTATCTTTCCAAGTCAGTGAGGGTCCAAAGATGGCTTCAAGGTCACTCCTTAGAAGCCAAGTGAATTAGCAAGATAGTTCTGAATGTTTAAAATATTAATTCCTAAACGTCTTTCTCCAATGTAGATTGCATAAGCAAGTTATAAAAACCTGCAAGAAAAATATTTAGAAAAAACTTTAATATCCTGCAGTTTATATACAAATCCATTAATACATGAGAATTTCATCTAAATGAAAAAAAACAGTGCGGTATGTTTCCGGATTAGCGCTCATCTATGAGTGGTGTGGACATGCTGGAAAGGTACACACGATGGTGTTAAAAAGTTGAGGGGAAAATAACAGAGCTTCCTATTTGGAAGGCAGATTGTTCCTGGTCATTGATTTGTTCAGAAACAGGGTTTTACACTGTAGCTCAAGCTGACCTCAGACTTGAGGCAATCCTCCTGCCTCTGCTTCTCCAGTGCAGAGATTGCAGGTGTGAGCTCCCACACTTGGCTCTGGACTTGTATTGTTGATTTTATATTCAATTTTAGATTTCTGGAGACATTGCTAAATGTCCTTATATTTTATCCAATATTGGTATAGTAGTAACTCATATATAATTCATGAAAAGTAAAAGTAATTATGATATTCTTGCGTGTCACACTGTTTTGTCATTGAGGACTAAGCCACCTACTGGTGACAAGGCACCTTGGTAAAATCCTTCCACTCCCACAAAGGCCCTGATACCAGGCAAGAGCTTACTCACCTGGTCCTTGGTCTTCCCTTCTCGCTCACGGATGTGGTTAGCAACAATCCTTTCTGTTTCCTCACAAAGCCTGGGGAAGTTCGCCAACTGTCAAGAAAACGAACCTGGGCATTAATATTGCACAACAGTTGTACCATAGAAACAGAGCAGAGGTGCTGAAGCAAGGCTGCCTGCCCCTTCTGAGAGCAAGACAGGAGACATGAACTTCTGCAGATGAACCCCAGCAGCTCTGTCAACAGGCAGGGGATGCCTCAAAGCCAGGACAGCCGTTGTCTAGAAATGAAGCTGAAACCCAGTGTCATGGCTAGTTTACTGTCAGCTTGACAGAGGTTGGGGCTCTTTGGGAAGTGGGACTCTCAATTGAGAAGATTCCTTTAGAACATTTGCCTGTAGACAAGTTGGCAGTGCATTTTCTTAATCAGCGATTGATGTGAGAGGCCCTGCCCACTGTTGGCAGTGTCGCCCTGGGCAGGTGCCAGTGAGATGTAGAAGAAAGCAGGCTGGACAAGTCATGGGGAGCAAGCCAATGAGCAGCACTCCCGCGCTGTGTGTTTTAATTCCTGCCTTCAGGTTCCTGCCTTGACTTCCTTTGATAATGGACTATGGCGTACAAGTGTAAGCTGAAATAAACCCTTTCCTCTCCAAGTTGCTTCTGGCCATGGTGTTCTATCATCGCAATAGAAACCCTAACCAAGATACCAAGTGGATGCATCAGAGCATCAAGAAGAGGCTTGACAAGACTTTCTGACTCCTGAAAAAATCAGAGAGGAAATAACAGTAGCTTTGACAGAGATGGCAATAGTGGAAATAGAAAAGAACAGGCATGCCCATGGCTAATTCTAAGTAAATGACTAATTTCAATTATATGAAAACATGTATACATTGATAATAACAAAATAGCATAATACAAACAGTAAAGGATGAGATTCAGTTAATAAACATGTAGTAGTCAATATGAAGAAGGCAAACATTAAACTGAATTAGCAATAATGCAGAGGAAAATAGTAAATGTTATATCATCAGTTTGTTGCTGTTATTTTTATAAGATAACAGGTGAACTTAGAGCCTGAGGCCAGCATGGGTTAGCTGAGAGGTTAGGTCAATGAAGGCAAATTTCCTGGAAAGAAATTTGGAAATGTTTACCAAGAATCTCAAATACATACACAAACTCCCATGACTCCCCTTCATCCCTCCCCCCCCCCTTCTCTCTCTCACACACATAAGCTTCAACCTAACAACTTCCCAGGATTCTGAGGTAAAATCATAAAGACTTTTATTTTTTTTCAATTTATTTATTTATTTATTTATTTATTTATTAAAGATTTCTGTCTCTTCCCCACCACCGCCTCCCCTTTCCCTCCCCCTCCCCCAATCAAGTCCCCCTCCCTCGTCAGCCCAAAGAGCAATCAGGGTTCCCTGCCCTGTGGGAAGTCCAAGGACCACCCACCTCCATCCAGGTCTAGTAAGGTGAGCATCCATGAAACTGCCTAGGCTCCCACGAAACCAATAGGTACAGTAGGATCAAAAACCCATTGCTATTGTTCTTGAGGTCTCAGTAGTCCTCATTGTCCACTATGTTCAGTGAGACCGGTTTTAACCCAGGCTTTTTCAGACCCAGGACAGCTGGCCTTGGTGAGTTCCCGATAGAACATCCCCTTGTCTCAGTGTATGGGTGCACCCCTCGCGGTCCTGAGTTCCTTGCTTGTGCTCTCTCTCCTTCTGCTCCTGATTTGGACCTTGAGATTTCAGTCCGGTGCTCCAATGTGGGTCTCTGTCTCTGTCTCCTTTCATCGCCTGATGAAGTTTAATATTCAGGAGGATGCCTATATGATTTTCTTTGGGTTCTCCTTCTTATTTAGCTTCTCTAAGAACCCGAATTATAGGCTCAATGTCCTTTATTTATGGCTAGAAACCAAATATGAGTGAGAACATCCCATGTTCCTCTTTTTGGGTCTGGCTTACCTCACTCAGGATGGTGTTTTCTATTTCCATCCATTTGCCTGCAAACTTCAAGAAGTCCTTGTTTTTTACTGCTGAGTAGTACTCTAATATGTATATATTCCATACTTTCTTCATCCATTCTTCAATTGAAGGGCATATAGGTTGTTTCCAGGTTCTGGCTATTACAAACAATGCTGCTATAAACATAGTAGAGCACATACTTTTGTTGTGTGATGAGGCCTCTCTTGGGTATATTCCCAAGAGTGGTATTGCTGGGTCCATGGGTAGGTTGATCCCGAATTTCCTGAGAAACCTCCACACTGCTTTCCAGAGTGGTTGCACAAGTTTGCATTCCCACCAGCAATGGATGAGTGTACCCCTTTCTCCACAACCTCTCCAGCAAAGGCTATCATTGGTGTTTTTGATTTTCGCCATTCTGACAGGTGAAAGATCATAAAGACTTTTATTACAACATTAATTGGAATGGCAAAATGAGACAAACAGAAACTTAATACCTAAGTATCAATGATATTAAACAAATCAAAGTAGATCAGTGGCCATTGCAAAATATGTTTTTAATTAATATATTTATTTACATTTATGTAATGTATATCTGAATGCCTATGTGACTGACTGTATGTGCTTATGCATGGATGGGTATGTCATACCTGTACAGACTAGAAGAGAGTGTAGGTGTTTTTCTCCAACACTCTCCGCCTATTTCTCCAAAGCAGCTTCTCTCCCTGAAGCTGGGGTTTACTCTTAGCTAGACTGAAAGCCAGCAAACCTCAGCCATGCTCCTGCCTCTGCCCTCCTCAGAGTTGAGATCTCAAACATTTGCAGAAATACCCAGCTTGCTACCAAGGTAACAGGATCCAATGTGCAGTCCTCTTGGTTGTATTGCAAACATTCTTAACTGCAGATCCATTGCCCCAACCCCTCAAATCGCATCCTCATGCTGTCTGATGGCACGGCGTTCACAGTGTGAAATAAGGGAAGAAAACTGAGCAGCCAAATAGATAGTGTGCTGAGGCCAAAACACCACCTTGAACCCTCAGATACACTAAGAACCTTCCAAACTTCAGCTTTTGAACAAAGTTTCCTCAAGCTTGGAAGAGGTTAGGAAAAGGCCTCCCTGAGAGACGCTGCTTGAGGTCACCTGGGTCACTGTGCACACTGCATATTTGTTTCCCAGAAGGATAAAAGCTCCGGCCCTTCATAGAGCAGAAGAACAAGGTCACCCTGTCTCTTAATGGTACAAGTTTGTCGCCTGTGAGAAGAGAGCTGAACAAACATGATACAATATGAATAGTAGTAACTCATTCAACTCAGCACAAGTTCATCCTCTCAAGAGGTTTCTAGAGAAGAGTATTTTATACCACTATCAGAAAAATAGAGAAATCTAACTGCTTTTGTAACTCATAAGCACTTACTGTATGTGCATAAAAACCAAGTAGATCTTCCAGAACCATGTTTAAGAAAAGAAATCCAGGGATGGCAGCACGTGTCTGTGATCCCGTTCCTGGGAAGGCTGTAAATGGACGGTCCCTGAGGCTCACTGGCCAGCAAGGCCAGCCTGCATGACAAGTCCCAGGTCACTAAGAGAGTCTGTCTCCAAAAGTAAAGTGGGCAGTACCTGAGGTTGTCCTCTGACCTCTACACTCATGTATACCATATGTGTGTGAATATATATATACATACACACACAAACACACACACACAATCTTTTTAAACTTGCTCTATCCACTGAGCTCAACTCAACCATGAAAGCAGTCTGTAGTTTTGTACCAATAACTGAAACAAAAGTAAACAGACTAAATTCTTAGGGAAACAAAAGAAAAACAACAAAATCCTTGACCTCACATGTGTGTGTGGCAGGGAATGGAAGAGGGGGAGGATTAGCGACAACACCAGGCAGTGCGAGCCATAACCATCACTGAAAGCATCAGTGAAATGAATACATTTGCTCTGAGCCTGATCTACAAAGAATTCTGGGGGCATACAATTCAAAAATGTTGGTTTTCATTGAGAGTTTTGTGGTGCTCAGTTCTTATGATGCACACAGAAAAGGGGACATCAAAGCCCTTCTGGTATTCAAAATGAATTCTGATTAGGCTCTGTGGCCTCCACCTCATCAGCTCGCTTACCAGGAATGGCTGGGTGTTTATGCAGCCCTCCTTCCTGCGCGCACACTCTGTCCTGATTGCCAGCTCCGTGTCCGCCTCACTTCCACATCTCTTCATGTGCAATTACAATTTCCATAATCATTGAAATCATTATAACTCTCAAGGTCTTCTACTCTGGCGTTCAAATTCATTACAAGTCTACATTGCGAAGAATTCTAATCGTGCCTGCCTAAATAGTGTGGATGTAGAAAGCACCATATTTAGACCTTAATTCCCCACTAATTACTTGTATTCTGTCAATTATTCATGAGGCATCAGTGAAGGAAGGCTTTGCTACCGGCTACAGACATTTTCTATTCCGTGACTTCCATCACATCCCTCGCTAGGCCACCGCTGTCCACTGGCCCTGTACTCACCATGTCAGAGCACCTGATGGAGAATCTTGCAGTGTGGACAGGGTGGTTAACTATGTAAATATGCATGGAGAAGCCTACCATAAGAATGCCTCTTGGGAATAAATGCCCTTGCATGAGACACAATCTGTCAGTCACACTGTATGTCGACTAAGTGACAAATTACTTCCAAATACCTTTACTATTCTTAAATAATAAAGATTCAATGAAGAAATAATACAACTTTTTTTTTCAGAATCCAACCCATGAACGTTTGATTCTGAGAAAATTTCAATGACACATGTCCTGAAAGAAAGTAGCCTTATAATAAAAAAAAATATAAAACTGCATCTTAATTATGTTCAATATTTTAAGTGTTATGTGGAGTTGTGTATAATTATTTTGGGAAACCTCCTTATAAAAATTTCAGTATGAACCACATTTTTCTCTGAGGGTAAAAGAAACACTTGAAAGGTATTTCCATCCAATAAAGCAAAAATTACAGACTTATAAAATTTACTAAGCATGAATTAATCAGATCATAAGAGCCAAGCAATTCAGTTTCTCCCGGGATAGGCATGAGCCAGCCAAGGCCTCAAAAGTAACTCGTCTGATGCCTCAAGCAAAA